CTTTTTCAAGGACATATTCCTTGTCCTCATAACGAGTAACCATTCTGATGTTCCTAATCCAATCATTGAATTTGGAACCATCAAATATAACTCTCCCACACAAGTTCATTAGGGAGAAAGACAAAGTTTAGATTAGATGAGAGTCCTTGATATAACACCCAAATAAAATATTCAGGTTAGGACCCAACAAAATATTTTCCAATTTGGAAGAGGGATGCCGTAATCTAATTGCAAAATTTGAAGGTAGGTAAATGACCATTTACCAATTTCCACCATGAAAAATGAAATTGATTATTAAGTTTTAATTGGATTGAAATTACTAGATTCTTTTGAGATTCATTGAACTTTTCAATGGCATGTTTAAATCTCGATTATCCCCTTCAAGTTTGTGACTGGGATACCGAGGATCATAAACAATGTGTGAATAACCATGCAAATGTGCTTGGTACACTCGATTTCATTTATCACCTAATCAATGTGCCGGTTAACCAACACGCTCCATTGATCTATGACAAACATCAAACTACCCTTTGCTGCCCTTACTAGTCCATGTTAGTGTGCCGGTTAACCACACACGCTCCACTAACGACTTGGCAGGGTGCAAAGTGCAGCTTCATGGATTAGCATCAATTTCATATTTTTCCTAAAGTAACTAAGATTGGGAATTTAATAAAACATTTAGTTACTTTATAATCATCATTATACTTTTAAGAAGAATTAATGTCCTATCCTACTCATTCGGCTAACGACCCTCCACCAGTCAAGGAAGCGGTAGGTGAGAGTGGACACCCATTAAACCACCATTTTATAGGCATTAACCTTATAATAGTATAAAGTTTGAATTTTAAACTTTTAAAATTCTAGGGTTTGGAATTAAAGTATTCATAAGTGTGAATTTACAAATTCTAAAACTTGAGGGAAAGTTTTGAAACTCTTCAAAACTTTTCATTTCCATAACTTATGAGTTTAATGACTTTTAAAAATGAGACTTTTCATTTTCCATTACTTGAGGACAAGTTATGGAATTCATTAAAGGCATTTAGATCAACATTTTAATTAACAAAATAATCAAATAATTTATCTATGATCTAGTTAAACTCATAAGTCAAGATAATTCATATCAACAATGTGCAAGAAATTAGCCTAATCATATAAACTAACACAAATCTTGAAATTTTGACAATTATCTTTTAATTGGATGAGCATGATCACTACCATATTAGGAAAACAAATTTTATGTTTCAAAAGAGAGTTTGTGGTAATGATCCTAATCCAATTCTGGCCAAAAACTCAAAATTCTGTAACCTGATCCATCAGCTCACCGAGTGCATGATCCTGATTCATCGAGTTTCCCTTTTATTGAGTGGAATTGTTGAGTCAGCCGGTGGGCTCGACGAGTTCATTAGACGGAGGCCAAAAAATCAATATTTTCAACTTTGAAAAATAATAAGCATCAAGTGTAACAGAAAACAATTGTAGTCTCTGATACCACTGAATGGTTTTGAGCACTCTAACAACCTTATGGTGCACATGCAACCCTAGATGCTTTGGATCTATGTTTTCTCTAATTATACATACAATTTGATTTTCCAAAGCACACATCCTAAGTAGCATACAATTTGACAATTGAACAATATAACTAGTTAGATAACTTACCTATTAGTGGGACTTGTAGTTCTTGGCCTTCAAAAGCTTTAGCACCTCAAATGTGATGCCTCTAATGTCTCATAAACACTAAGTGCAAAAGGATGTTTGAGAGAATAAGTTACTTAGCACAAAATCAGTTCACACTCTCCAAGAATGTATTGACAACCGATTTTAGCTCTAGGGAGTTCCTTTTATAGTGTGACAAGTGCTAGTGTTACATCCATGCAAACCTTAATGCACTATGACCCTTCATATTACTTAGGCTCCATTGGTTAAACCTCCATAGACTATCCATGTTGGTTTAGCTCATCTTAAATAACCATGGATCATTGGTTCACACTATAAGAATCATTGATTTTGTTGGGTTTTGAGCATTCTAACACTCCTAAGTGTTCATGCAACCCTAAATACCTTGGATCTATGTTTTCTCTATTATACATGCAAATGTGAATATCCCAAGGTATTATCCTAACTAGCATACAAAACATTGATTCATATGAAATAATACAAGTTAGATAACATACCTTTTGGTGTAGGTTGATTCCATGGAGATTAAGAGCCTAGTGCCTCAAATGTGACACCTAAAATGGTTCACACAACATCAAATACACTTAGAATAACTTGAGAGAAATGATACACTTCATGAAATCGGCTAGCCCTCACCATTCATACATAGTGACCGATTTTTTGGAAGAATATGATGCTTATATAGTCTGTCACAATTAGGGTTACACCATGTAAACCCTAATTGTCATGACTTTTCATTTCATGGATCCATGGGTTCAAAAACACCATCGAGTATCCTATGGGTTTTATCCCAACTTGATAAGCCATGGAGTATTAGCCCACCATACAAGTATGGATGATTTACACAATCAACCCATTTATTTAATTAGTCTCCTTTTGATCACTTAATTAATTCCAAATTAATTCTTGATCAATACTAATTAAATAATATTATTAATGTATTAGAAATTATAATATATTAATAAACCTTAAGTGTTATCTCTCTTATTTTAGTCTATCCAAATGCATGATGCCATGCAACCCAAATGGACCATGCCAATCGGGTCAAGTACATACCAATTATAGTTATGGACTTAGACACTAATCCAATAGGCTCCCACTTGGATAAGTCTAAAACTATTATTGCATATAACTTTAATACCAGACTAGCAATCGTAGCTCTTGAAAGCTGCTGCTGTACTCTGAACAAATCAATGACGCGTCCATTAGATAATGGATCATATATTCCTCCATTCTAGATATCATATGGACTGAGACATGGATTATAATCATTCTATGTTTCCATCTGTTGTTTCCCGATTTCCGATTTATGACGACCGACTAATTGAACAAATCAAATCAGTCCAAGCTTGGCCAAGAACTTCAGGGTGTCATCACTAAATCATCTAGGGGCCCACATATATCACTTTTATCCCTTTGAGGGTATAAGGAATGGATAAAATTAGACTCATATGCTTTTTATACTACTTGTTGAATCATACACAAAGGCATATTTTATAACATCGAGCTACCAATGCGTTTTCGTACAATCAATGTATAACCAACTCATAGGTAACAACTCATATCTCTAGGTTTGAAGAATATAAGATATTATCGTCTCATGATCACTCATGATATAAATCCATGAAGTGAGTCAAATGAGCGTGGGTTTAATCCAATACTCAGAATCTATGAGCACTCAAGAATGTTGCAACAACTTTTGCTATGTCCACTACCTTGGACATCTACAAACAAGCTTCATGATAGTCTTGATTTATATCTACTTCCAACATATGACCGATTGTGGATGGTTTGAATAACTTAGTCATTCATAAAGAACGACCTAGCTAATCTGGAAGTCAAAACATGCAAAGTGAAACACAAGAATAATCAAATCCAATATGGTCTCAGAACTTATGAATATAAATAGAACACCTTTTATTTATCACCATATTGCTTACACATTATTCATTGTATGCTGTTTCAAATTATCAACTTTATACTTGAATTAAAACAATAGTTTTCCTATGCTCCAAGCATGTAAACCATGTTTTCTAAACACTAGTCATGCCATACACTAAATATGCACACTATATTTGTCCAAACATTAGTTATGCCATATAGAAACTTTTCAAGCCTTTTCCAAGCCTTAGAAATGATGAAAACAAAATGACATATCAGAACAGACCCGAATAAGACCTAACAGCAAAGATGCCATTCTTGCCCATAGATAAAGTCCTTATTAGTGAGGTTGGCCTGCTTAAGAAAGTTAGCCAACTCAATTTGTGAACTTTGGGTATTGGTTTGGGGGTCCGTTTGGGTTCTATAGCTCAAGGTATGATTTTTACAAAATGACTATAGATCTGATGGAAAACAGAATCGTAGCCACCCGTGATTCCTTTTTGGCTTATCCACCCTTATCCATTGTTAAAAAAAGTTCTACTAAGAACTGATACAAATACAAGACATGAAATCTAAGTAAACCATTGAGATGAACATGTAATCAACATTTCATAGATGTAAACATGATATCCCATGCCTCTAACATGGAACATGATATGCACATATCAAAACTTTTAATTGAATTTACAAATACATACACTAGCCAAAATCAAGGAATATCAAGTACCTTAGTTGATGACTTGAGTAGTGAACTACATTCATTTTCTGTGCAATCCATCATATAGATCATTGGAACTGGGTAAAAGAAGAATAAAAACCAATGAGTGGACAGAAAAAAAAGTAAAAAGGTAAAAGGAGCTAAACAGAAAGTTATACCAAATGAAAATACAAATGCCATCTACGTCTTACCATTCCTTGAATGTATGATATACCTCGCGAACCACAAGTTCTTCCAGCTTATCATCATCAGGTTGAACATTTGTTACTGGCATTGTGATATCAATATCATCAGAGAGTAGCTGGAAGCCTAAATCTTTAGCAAGTGAAAGAGGACATTTTGGGACCAAACTAAAAAAACTAGCTGCACTCAGGGACAGAAGTGTAGTTTACTATATCTTCTTTATAAACCATCATCCGAAAAAACTATTAAAGTTACTAGTACAAAAAAATTAAGCAAAATGTATAATTAAGTTGGATGCCATGTTGGCATGGAAAACTGTTTAACCAGCTATAACAAGTTAGGTTTCCATGACCCATTTTAGTCCAACAAATCAACTATACAAATCAGTACCTACATGGTATGATCATGACCCATTTTAGTCCAACAAATTAGGAAAAAGAATCCATACAGGCTTGCTCTGTATGGATTCGAGTGCAAGGTGTGATTAGGTACCATATCACTTGGTCTTGTGTACATCAGGTAATGTTATAAGGTATGAATTAGGTCAGATTCTTCTTTTAAGCATTTCTTCGAACACTTGGAGTGCATAGCTCATCTCCTTCATTTTCTGCGAGTTCCCAAAATCTAGGGGTTTAATATTCTATTCTCAAAACATATGTTCAATATTATCAATACAAGTAGAAAGTAAAGAGACCACAAGAACATAGAAAAATACCAGCGTATTTTTTTTGAAAGAGCAAAGGACCGAGAATTTTGAGGAATTGTATGTCTTGGGATGGAATCCGTCAAGAACGTCTGTGAATTTCGACACATAAATGTACCTATACAACATTTTGAAAGGTAAGGATGATGACGATGCACTGGCTGTGAGCATACGCGAGCAATAGAAACGGGCCAATGAAGGCTGAGAAACTAGGTCTAGCCAGTGTTTGCAAACACATTTGAACCTAAAAATTGATTTCAGGGGAAATCTAGCGAGGAGTTCGAGAAGGAGAGACTCAGTGAGGTTTTGAATATCGTATGAGAACGTATGAGCAAGGAGAACAAGCCCTAGAACTGATGATTCGGAAAGAGGGTTTACTTGTGTTGAATCGATTGGTGTGATTACCTGAGATTGAGAGTGTTTTCTCTTTCTTGAATAGGCGATGATCTGATGACGATGGCTTGGAAATGAGTTCTGATCACCATCATCGTCGATGTGATTATTGATTTGATTGATTGAACTGTTGGGTTCCATTTAGCGGTGGTTGAGATTGGAAATGGAAATGGAAAGAGTGCCACCAAGGAGATTGAGGAGAAGAAGAAGAGAGAATTAGAGATGTTCGAAGTGTGGATAGAGTTTTTAGTGTTCAATTTCAACTCAATTAGTAAAGAGTCCTAAACGATTACACCTCCCTGTACCTCACTCAATAATCGAAACCATAGAAATTCTTGAGTTTTGTATGAACTTTTCTCACGAATGATGTTCACGTCGCCGGCTCCAAAGCGCCATAATCATGCCGAGATCCAGAATCGTATATGTTTGTTGTTTACAAATCTGTTGTTGAACCCTGAAGAATCGACCTAGGTATTCCCACCGCTGAAGATGAAGATGAAGGCCCTAGGGCTTTTTCTTGCTAAGTAGCAGAGGTGGGGGATTAATTTTTGGGATCCAATAGGCAGGGGTAATTTTCGTCGATTTCATTTCCCGCCTAAAACGCGTGTTTCACTTATAAATTATATAGCGAAACATTTACATGACACACATTTTATTAAAGGCGCCCTCCGCATTTTTTTTCTTTTCTAACACTAATTTTAGGGCGCGCAAAAATGCGTGCCCTCTATCCTTCAAATTTTACAAAACTGACATTATTTTTTAGGGCACGCACAAATGCGCGTCCTGTATCAGCGAGTGTCATTGTTTGCGCGTCATTAATGGGCTGTTTTCTGGTAGTGACAAGAGTGTGTACTCGATCCCTTAGTCTTTCACTTGACTCACTTAAACATGTGAACATGGAATTAGTCTTAATTTTCCAAAGATGAAAATTCTCATTCATCATACAACTTGTATGATTCCAAGTTTCAGCCCAATTGAAACTTGGGTAATAAGAATCTTTCCTTATTTGGTAAATTTAGACATTACCACAAATGTAAGAATCAAATTCACATTTCCATTATTGCTAGAAATATACAAATATCAATTTTTCAATGAAAGCCACTGCTAGGAGATATAAACTAAAATGAAATCAAAATTTTATTTATTTATAAAATACAAAAAACTTTTTTCCTTACGATGCAACTTTACATGAAAACTATGCTATCCCATATTTTCTAGCAATCTATCATAACTCCTAAGTAGTAGCTCAAGAATCCGATCTTCGGACCATGCGATTGAAATCCATCTTCGCGATTAGATTCATCATACTCTTCTTTTAAGCTTCCTTTGCTTGATCCTGTCACATCATGTACCAAGAATCAACACTTAGGAACTTAACATAGTTAAATAGTGGACTTACCTGAAGCCAAGTCAAACTTTTTGACTTGACCTTTTCTCAGATCTTTCAGGTAGTTTGGGCAGCTTTGCAACTAATGCCCCTTCCTTTGGCAATAGAAACATATGGACCATTTGGTAATGATACATGGGACTATCTCAGACTTAGTCTTTCTCTTTACCATTTGGTCAACCGAGTTGACTATGGCCGATCCCTTTTCATTGGGAAGAGAAAGATTGTACTGGGTATCCAATGTTACCATTGTCAATGTCCATTGAAGGTTTGGGAAGTTGATCTTCTAATCAAATTTGCTTTACTAGTCCTCAAATCATTTCTGATTCAGCAGCACCAAGCAAATAGATAAGATCATTAAGGGTCATGTCATAGTCTGTTTCATAGTAGTCCCAAAGGAACTCGCTATATGACTTAGGAAGTGATTGAACATCCAACTTCCTCAAGACTTTGACACCCAACTCTCCCGGCTTGTCAATATGTGACTTCATGTCAAAGATGTGATTACACATGGACTTTGCTTGCCAATAGGTCTTGAGTGACTTTGAACTATTCAAGAACTTGTGGGTTAGGGAGAATAATTGGAGGAGGTGGATGAAGGGAAGAATGATTTCCATTCTCCAACCATGGAACATCATCTACATTAGGAAATCTTGTTCCAAGAGTTTTTGGGAAGATCATAGATGTCTGAACCAGACATCTTTTGGGAGATATTCAAGATAGTTGATTTAAAGTCCTTAATATAACACCCAATATGAAATATTAAGGCTAGTACCCAACACAATATTTTATAACTCAGAAGAGGGATGTCGTAATCCAAGCTAGAAAATATTTGAAGGTAGGTGAATGACGATTCACCAATTTCCATCATGAAAAACGAAATCATTTATTAGGTTTTAATTGGATTTGAAACTCCTAGATCTTTTGAGATTTATTAAACTTTTGAATGGCATGTTTCAATCTCGATTGTGTAGTCTCAAGTTTTGTGACTGGGATGCCGAGGATCACAAAACAAGGTGTGAATAACCATGCAAATTTACTTTGTACCCTTAATATTTACCCCTCAATCGATGTGCCGATTAATGACACGCGCTCCACCAATACTATGATAAACATTAAGTTACCCTTTGCCTACCTTGTTAAATCCAGATTACTGTGTCGGTTACCCACACGCGCTCCACTAACGACTTAAGCAAAGTGCACAGTGTGATTTCATGGGTTAGCACCAATTTTACATTTTCCAAAGTAACTAGGATTGGGAATTCATAAGAGTTTAGTTACTTGGTATTTATCATTAATACTTTTAATGAAGGGAGAATTCTAGTCCTTGTCCTAGCCGTCCGAATAACGACCCTCAACCAGTTAAGGAATCGGAGGGTGAGAGTGGATACCCATTAAAATGTCATTTTATAGGCAACAACCTTATACCCCCCTTATAGACCAGCTTCGTGAATAAGGTGTGACATCCCCAAAATCACGACAAGAAAAGACCGGTTTCATTTATGCTTTTAAAATAATTTCAGAGTAAATCCTTTTGATTTAAAAGAGTTGCGGAATTTGTTCCCAAAACAAAATATGATACAATAAAATTATCAAAGCATTTCATCAAGAAATGTATTTTCATTATATAACAAAATTTGGGATGTTATGTTCCGATACAGACCAAAAATCATAAGCAACATATTACAAGCCATACAACAGTTATATACATGTACAAGCTTATAAACAAAATAACTTGATGATTCATCAACCTCATGCCCTCACGCCACTTCCTGTAATACGAATAAGACTGAGTGGGTCAGGTTTGGGAGCCTGGTGAGCATATAGGGTTTTCAACCCACAATAAATAATTATATTTAATCTCATTAACCAACAATAACCCAATTACCTATTCCCGTTATCCTCACTTTACGTCCCTAAAACAACATCTATTACAAGGGACCTAATCTAGGATTTTCATCGGGACGGACATTACTGCAAGGGGTTTCCTCAGCAATAGATGTCCTAAAGGTGACCATGAGGGGGATAGAGTACACTGGTGAACACATCGTTCACAAAACCTACATGTTATGAACCTTCTAGCGTTCCACAAGACTGTCTCGAAAGAGTCTGTGGTCGTCATCCATACTCCGCTAGATGACTAGGTCAACAACAACAACAACATCGAGACCTCTCATCAGTTTATCACACATCAACTATCTAACCAATTTCTACCCAACATTTTGTAGATAACAATATACATATGCATACATATGCAACTTAAAAATTGATAAGATATTCATTTAATACTTGTTCCAAATATACAGATTCATTCCAAGTAACAGATAATATATATATATATATATATATATATATATATATATATATATATATATATATATATATATATATATATATATATATATCTATATACACATAACACGTATTCACTCGGAGATACTATATATCTATGTGTTAGAAGAAAATGAATATACACTCACACATATAACAACAAAATATACGCATAACATGTATTTCATATAAAATACTTCATAATTATGCGTTAGAAGAAAGTAACTACACACTCACTTGATAAGACAATAATTGGACAACGCCTTGTCTCTTAAAATAATCTTTTGCGACGAAACCGGGATGTTTTCCTCCAAAACCGGGCTTCATGCGGGTAGAGCTTCGGCTTGGGAATCTTTCTTCTCGAGATCTTCGGGGCTCGGGATGAATACCAGGGATTTTGGATATTTCTTGCATGCAAAACGATGCAAAAATGAGAGAGAAAGGAAGAAATGAACAAAGAAACTCGGCTGCCATCGACTTCTATTTATAGGGGCTGAAACCCGATTTACGTTGGGCCTAACGCTCATCGACATGTACGCTGGGTGTACATCTAGGTACGCTGGGCGTACCGGATGGATAAGGCCGGATGAGTCACGGGTTCGGTATTATCCGATTTTATAATTAAATAAATATATTTTAATTATTTAAAAACTTCTGAAATTCATATTTTCCTCATGTGAACTCCGTTTTTGATGTTCTCTATATCCACGCGTAGGTGAGACTATGCTCTACAACATTTGCTTAGACTCCGTCGGCTGATTTCGAATTTATTTTTATTATATTATTTTTAGTAGGACGGGATAGGAAAACTCCGTTATAAATTTATAACTTCTTCATCTGACATCCGTTTTTGTCTGTCTTTTTACTGTTGGACTACTATCAACGAGATCTTTGATTCTCGTTTAGATTGTGTCAGCTAAAAACCGCTCGATCTCAAATCGAGTATTCGGGCTGCACACCGCCAAGTCGAAACTTTGAAAAATCATAACCTCCTCATACGAAGTCATATTTGGGCGTTCTTTTTATGCACGCTATCAGTTTAATGTATTCTACGAATTTTGTTTACATTACTAAGGCTAAATATCGCTCTATCGTAAATTCACTATTTACATCGCGATGTGCCGTACCGGTTGTGTTGCAAAACTTCGAGAGGTCATAACTTCTTCGTTATAACTCGAATTTCGGCATTCTTTATATATTCGGAAAGCTCGTTACGACCACTACGTCTTCATTTATCGATATTGAGCTTATCTAATTTTTCATTTTAACTCATATTTTTATCCTTAATTCATTTAAGCCACACAATTGAGCAATTAAGCATAAAACACATAATACTCAAATAATACATTCTTATTATTTCAAAATGGGTTACACAGGTTAACCTAGACTATTACATCGCTATTAATGACAAGCCTAGAACTAC